ATCCCGTTTAAAATGAAGTGGGCCGGGACGAGACGAGACGCGACGCGACGCGACGCGGGACGGTACCACGTCCCGTCCCGTTGGACAGCCATACTGTTTGGTGAAGATTAGATTTGATTTTGGCTGAATTTCAGATTGAAACTCGAAGAAGAAGAAGAAGAAGAAGAAGAAGAAGAAGAAGAAGAAGAAGAAGAAGAAGAAGAAGAAGAAGAAAAAGAGGAAGAAGAAGAGGAAGAAGAACACATGACATACAATATATTTACGAAATTGTAGTAACATGGTATTATAATTGTATGTAAATTGTATTCTGTTGTAGTTATATATATTTTTTTTATTTGAATGTCGTATGAAAATTGAAAAATAGTTATATAATGTGTGAATCGTTGTATAAAATTTGTATTTAAGTTATCAATACTATCTTTTTATATAAAGTTGTTGATGTGTATCAAAATTATATTAAGAGAGAAAGTTTTGATTGGAATTTTAGAGAGGAAGAAGCACACACCACATATAAAATATATACAAATCAGATACAAAATATATAAAAGACATATTGTATAAAATTTGTATGAAAATTATTTTTAAATTATATGATGTTATAGTCTTGTAGATGTATTTTAACTGGGTAAAAATAATGTATGAAAGTTGTAGATAAGTTGTATTAAATTTGTACGAAATTTATTTTTAAATTTGTATGTTGTTGTACCATCAAATTGTATAATATCAATTTTAAGTACGATGTATCCATTTTAGTGCTGATTTAAATAGGTTTCTTTAATTTTTGATAGATTAGTGTATTTGGTAAGTTAATCAATCAAGTGAAGCAGAATACTTTACTGGCCTTGCACGATAGTTATTAACCTCGTAAAATCTTTGGACAAACCCATGAACTGTTTCTTCGAATCTTCAATTCCTATGACCTTCTTACTAGGTGCTGAATTCATGTCTTGAAAAAGACCATCAAACTGCAGGATAATCCAATTTTCAAGAGAGCACAATACAAAACGAAGTGCCATAAGTTTGAATTCAATAACATTCTTGCACTGTTAAAGTTCCATACTTAGCTTAGTGGTAGCAATGTATAAAAAAGAAAAGGGCAAACCAATGACAATTTGGAGGTTACTTCAATAGGTTGATTGGTAGAAGATAACTTTTAGACTTACTTTGAGAGAGAGAGAGAGACGGTGAGAGAGAGTGATGAAGAAAGAAAGAAAAATTGATGAGAGAGGCGACAGTGAAGAAAGAGGAGAGGAGAGAAAAAAGGAAAAAGGACGTAACTTAATCCTCTAATTTAAGGCACTAATAATGGATTGTAGATAATTTGTAAGTAATCATTGTTTATGACGGGTAATATACAAAACTAGGACAATATTGATAAATAAATTTCAAATATTACATAGAAAGGAAAAAATCCCTTTCATAATTGGTTCGTTTTTGTCTATAGAATTAAGAACAAATAACGAAGACAATTAAACGTTTTGCATGGACTGCATGCAGTGGTATCTTGACGGGAATGCACGCTTAAAATTTCTTTATCCTTAATTATAGGTCTTAAATTAAATTATGAAAATCAAGAACCTTTCGGTAAAAAGTGTTTTGACCTCTTAATGAGCTTGGCTGGTGCAAATTGAGAATAGCCTGGAAAATGAATTTCAAATGATAAAAGCGTAAAAAATAAAAGAGGATAGAGTCTCCCGTTATTCTTGCTTCAATTTTTACAAGGAAGTCTTTGTAACACTCCATAAATCTGGATTAGGTGTGGACGTGTTAAAAATGTAAAGTTCTATTCGGGATGAGTATGGGTGGAAATAGTTGTT